AGGAGACAAATCAGACAAATTATATCTATGCAGACTTAAAAAACCTATACTGTCAAACCTACTTGATCTATAGACCTGTATGTACTGTTTTAATTGCATATTTAAGTGCGTCTTATATATAAAAAGAAGTCTGCCTCTACCACACACCACATATTTTTACCACACATTTAAGATAAGAAAATGACCAAGATACTCCACAGAAGCTCTATAAAACGAATTTGACATTGAGTCAAAAGAGGAGATCTTAGGTCAGATGACTAAAAACTCAGCCAAAACACTTTTAAGGACGGAATTCCAGAGTTTAGGACTTAGGAATGTGCAGCCACCAAACGTGAAACAATATTTTTTAAAGACAATTAGTTTAATATTCCTATGGCACTGTGAGAGCAACCTTACTCTCCTCTCATCTTTCCACCAATTACTTTAAATCTATGCCACCTGGTTATTGATCTCTCTGCAAATGGAAATAGTTCCTTCCAATCCAGTCAACTAATTCAAGTAAACTCAAGGAATAAAATCAGAAGTTGCTGGAAAAGCTCAGCAGGTCTGGCAACATCTACGAAGAAAAAAATCAGAGTTAACGTTTTGGGTCGGGTGACACTTCCGCCGAACTCAAGGGACAGTCTCCCACATGCAACATTTGAGTTTAACCAGTTCAGGTGTTTCCTTTTGTTTCCAATTTGTTTCCTTTTTCTTGGCTTGTTTTGGTTTGTTATTCTTTGTTTTGCTTTCAGACAGCAGCAGTTAATGATACTGCCATTCATGCCTCCTCTAGTCACATCTTTTGTTTTTTATTTGTTCCATTCCCATTCCTTTTGGCCATGCACCACCCATACTTGTGATGTTTAAACTCACCTACCTTTTACTCAATCACAGACGTTCCCTTTTGTTCTTTTCCTGACCTTGCCCCCTTTCACTAGCTTAAAACCAAATATATCTCTAAATTTCCCAGTGAAAGGTCACAGATGCAAAATCTTAGCACTTTTTCTCTCTTCTCAGATGCTGCCAGACTAGATGCTAAATATTTTCATCTCTTTCTGTATTAGCAATATTTAGTGAGAAACAAAATGTGGCTAGGGCACTGAGGTGAACTCCCTGTTCTTCTTTCAAATAGGGCCATGGAATCTTTTACATCCACCTGAGAAGGCTAACAGAGCCTCACTTTGATACGTCATCTAAAAGATATTACATATAGCACCACACTCAAGCAACCAGGCTAGGACTTGAACCCACGATTGTCAGACTTAAAGAAGGATACTACAACATAGATGTAAGCAAGTAGTCAATCAGATTTTTGGTACAGAATGCTGTGATGTATTCAGGCACCATTGACCCTGGGGATGTTAGAACGCAAGAAAGAGTAATCAAAGGTTATTTTAGGTCAAGTCAGGTAGCTCATTGATGTGAGGAAGTGTGATATTTTTATAATTGAGTTATTTGCAAGGACAAATACTAATTGAAGTAACTGGATCAGATCATAATTATTGCTCTTTATGTTCATTCACTGATGAAGATTCATGACATATTATTTGGAAACTGAGGTTCTAAAGTGGACAGAATCATTTGTGGCTTTAAGTTTTAACTTGTATTTTTATATTGTGTGTTATAAAGAGAGATTTAGTCTTAGTTTTAATTTTTGAATTCTGGGTTACGCCAAATTATCTCAGAAATTTGTCTACATACACTTAAACGAGGTTTTTAAAAACGCTTTAGGTGAACAATTCAATGTTTTAGAAACAAGAGACCCAGCCTCTACAACCTTCTTAGTTAAAGATTCCACAGAATCACTAGCCTCTGAGGAAAAGAAAATCCTCATCTGTTTTGAACAGGCAAACCCTTACTGAGATCATGGCCTTTGGTCCTAGATTCTCCCACAAAGAAACAACCTCTATGTATCTAACCTTTCAAGCCCTAAGAATCTTATTTGTTTCAATAATGTCCTTCTCATTCTTCTAATCCCTAAATGACTACGGGCCCAAACTACTCAAAGAAGCTTAGCAACTCTTTTATTGCCTGATCTGACTACCTCAGGAGGTTATAGAAGTGAAAAGGAGTAGGACACAAATATCAATGCAGGCTACAATGGGGAATAGCAATTGTTACACCATTAGGTTATGCTATTACACAAGTTAACTCTAACGAATATAAGAAATTCAGGCTGTTTTCAGAATGTATTTGACAATGTGTTTTCAGTGATGTAAGACCCAATGCAGAAGATATCTAGTCTTCCTTACATCGAGCTCGAGAGCAAAGCTAAAGCACATCTGCAAAACTATGAAAGATGATGATACTTGATGCACTAATGGAAAATTAGAAGTCTTAACTCACTATACAATTAAGGTATCATAGCGATACATTCCTTTCTCCATTATTGAAGTATCTGGCTCAGCCAATTGAATCTACAAGAACAATTTATATTCATATAGCACCTTTAATGTAATGAACTATCCCAGCATCACTATAACTATAAAATATGGTGCTGAGACACATAGCAGATTTTATTTATTTGTTCATGGGATATGAGCCAGAATTTTACTGCCCATTCATAAAGTGAAATTAAGTCAGATGTCCAAAAATTTTGTCAAAGAGGTATGCCTTAAAAGTGTCTTAAAAGAAAGTCCAAAGTAAAGAGGTGTAGGTGTGAATTCCAAAGCTTTGGGCCTAGGCAACTGTACGCACAGTCATCATTGATTAAGCAATTTTTTGTGGGATGACAAATCTCTGAAACACTTACAAAACACTTCATTTTATACATATGTAGATATCTTTCCTGAAATAAGGGGAGCAAAATGGAGCACAGTATTTCAGCTGTGGGTTTTTATGTGGTTTTAGCAAAACCTCCTTACTTTTGTACTCCATTCCCTTGGAATAAAGGCCAACATTCCATATGCCTTCCCAATTACCTGCTGAACTTGGATGTTAACTTTTTGTGATTCCCTTGCTTTTTGTTCCCTTGACTTGACTGAGGACTGAAGACAATTATATCAAGCTTCCTGGCTCTATGTGTGATAAAAAGCAAAACAGAAGTGCTATGAACCCAGTATTTCTGACTGAGGGGGCAAAGCACAAATCACAAGGCACAGCAGTGATGATGTGAGCTTCCAGGTAGGTTTAAATAAGTGATTGGTAAGAAATCATGTGAACAGAACCAAGATGCAGCCTGTTATAATTGAGAGCTGGGTGCATGTAAACTGCCCTTATAGCAGTATTACAATGATAGTTGCCAGTGCTCCCAAAGGTGCAACTTTACAGTACTGAAGTGTATTGTAAGTGGTTCAGAGATTTGTCATCATGATGCAGAGGGACTGGCAAATATCCAATGCTAAGGTTATGGACATTGGGGTGTCAGATGTTCAGGATGGAGCACCTCAGAGCAAGTGACAATTGCACAGGGCCAAAGTGAGACCATATCTGTGGTACTGTATGCAGTTTTGGTCTCCTTATCTGAGGAAGGATGTTCTAACTATGGAGAAAGTGCAAGAAAGGTTTACCTGATTTCTCAGATGGCCAGACTGACATATGAAAAGAGGCTGGATCAGTTAGGACCACATTCACTGGGGTTTAGAAGAACGAGGGGGATCTCAGAAAGACCTATAAAATTCAAACAACGAAAACAGAGGAAAGATGTTCCTAATGGCTAGGGAGTCCAGAACCAGGGATCACAATCGAAGGATAATGGATAGGCCATTTAGGACTGAGATGAGAATAAATTTCTTCATCAGAACAGTGGTTATCCTGTGGAACTCTCTGTCACAGGAAGTGACTGAGGCCAAAACAGTGAATGTTTTTGGAAAAGGAGACAGCTATAGTCCTTATGACTAAAGGGATCAAAAGATAGAAGACAAAAGTAGCAACAGAGTGCTAAATTGGATGATCAGCCATGATCCTATTGAATGGTGGAAATAAAACAAAAATTGCTAGAGAAACTCAGCATGTCTGGCAACATGTGTCAGAAAGCAGACTTAATATTTCCAGCCCATTGGACACAAAATATTAACTCTGCTTTCTCGCTATAGATGCTGCCTGACCTTCTAAGTCTCTCCAGTAATTTCTGTTTTTGTTTCAGATTTCCAGCATCCACAGTGCTTGGTTTTATTATATTGAATAGTGGAGCAGGATCACTGGAGCGAATAGTGTTTTCCTGTTCCTATTTTCACTTAATAGGCATCTCACCGTGAGAATCACACCTCAATGCTTGGAACGGTTGGAAAATGCAGCTTGTTGCTCCTGATGTCAAGACTGGCCTTGCTGAATTTCTCACAAATTCCTCACCATAGCCCATGTTGCGCGGGCTATTCCAAGATTCCTCCCAGAGCGGCTGAACAAAGTTTAGTGGCACACTTGATTCTGTGGTGGGTGTGGTAGCAGTACTGCTTCATTGTCAAATGGTGTGGAGTTCAAAGCCACTGTGATAGAATACAGTACGCATTTCATTGTGTTCTAGTTCCTGTGAGGAGTCTGTGAAACCCTCCTGCCATAACCCAGATGATTGATGAGCATAAAGTTGGAAGAACTGTTTGTGCTCTAGCCTACGAGATAAGTGAATGGATTCCTCCTACTATCTCACACCATTTTCCAATGTCGACAGCAGGTGACACACAGGAATGCCAGGTGCTGTACTGCCTCATTGTCAAAAGATGTGGAGTTCAAAAGCTACACTGGGCACCTCTGAGCAGTGTGGAGTGGTGCTCCACTTTTGTCTCAACACCACTGGGATACAGTACAGTAAGTATTCCATCGTGTGTTGGTTCCTGCGGGAAGTCCGTGAAACCCTCCTGCCGTAATCCAGAGGATACACCTGATTGATGAGCATAAAGTTGGAAGGGCTGTTCGTGTTCGAACCTGCCAGAGAGTGAATGAATTCCTCCTAATATTTCACACCCTTTCCCAAAAGGGCAAGGTGGTGAAAAACCCTACCCTTGGATTTGTCGACAGCAGGTGACACACAGGAATAAAAGGTGCTGCATCAATGATTGGGAGTGGCAGTCGAAAGAACTTGTGTTTTAAAAAAAGGGACTAAATAAAATCATCCCTTCCCACTATCAGCTCTTCATTCGGACCCGGGGGTGTTTTGTGGCGTCGTTAGGCAGAGCCTTCCAAAACAAAAGAGCGAAACCTCATCCACGTCATGTGGAATGAGAGCTTGAGGGTAATTAACGGCGTAACCGACAAAGGGACTGAAAGAAAAACAAGAGAGAGAGAGAGAGAAAGAAAGAAGGAAGGAAGGGGCGGTGCACATGTTGCTGGAGAGCTGGAGGGGGCAGCAGTGCGTGAAACCTGCTCTAAGTAGGAAGACGATTAAAACCGAAAGAGGAGAGACAGAGAAATCAGTCACGGGAAAAGCCTTCCTTTTTGAAAAAAAATTAAGAGTTATTATTTTTGTAAATACGTCTCGTCGCGCATTGGAATTTTTTTTCTTAAGAAAAGCATTTATCTCCTCTCGCAGATCGCAAACGTTTATGTACAGCACATTATAAATATCTGTATGTTTATATCTATTGCACATTGGGAAAGTTGAAGTAGTCTCAGTAACAGGCAGACACACACACACACAGAGGGAGGGAGCAATGAGGGTGAAAGTCGGCTTCCTCTTACGGAGTTTGCTGATCATCGGGACTTTCCTGGCGCTGATGGGGCTCTGGTCCAAGCTTCTCTCATCCCAAAGCGACGAGAACAACCCGTTCGAGCGGCAGATGGTGAGTCAGTCTGGGGCTATACACATTTATTTACTTGTGTGAGACAGATGGCTTTGGTTGGGGGGGGGGGGTCGCTGGCGCGGATCAAAAACCTCCCAGAGGCTCGAGCCGGCGGTCCGTTACCGGCGGGGTTGCCATGGAGACGGGGGTGGGGGCATTCGGGTCTCTCTCTCTCTGCCGTCAGGCAGCCTCGTGCCTGTCGTTTCCCTTTTCTTTTAAAAACAAATTTAATCTGCGGCTTGAAGCAGAAACGATCGTTTTATTTTCGTTTCCTTTTTTTTCGTTTCTTTTTTTTTTCTTTCATTTTGTTTTACTTCATTTGCCTTTTATTTTTAAAGGTGGGGGTGGGTTTCAAAACAAAAAAACCCCACCAAACTAACGGTCAAATTTAGGCCAGATGAAGCTGAGGCCTGACTTTCAGGCCCCAGGATGTGTTCGTGTGACTTAAAGGTGCGACGCTCAAGTGCTTTCCCCATTAGGTAAGATGTGAAAACGTCTTGAAGGTCTGCTATGTAATGGTGCATGCTCTGAATTGATTTCCGAATCTCTTTGCTCTCAGCCTCTTTCCATAACTGCACTGACATTGTAGTGTGGTGTAAGCACTTGGATTCCTTTTCCCTTCTTTGCAATGAAAAGTCCAAGGGGTTAATTAAAAATGTTTAGCACCCTCCCTCAAAAAAAAGGTCTGTGCTTCCTATCTATTCTGTTTTATTTATTTCAAGCCTGGTCCCAAAGCAGGAGGACAGTGCCTCACTTTGTAAATCCAAGTTGAATGGCTCTTCTACTTCACTAGTAAAGAATAAGTATTGCTTTGAGTCCTTTTGTGCAGAACAATTGTAAATCTGTTCTCTTTGCCAGCTTTGCCCAAATCATTGCGTTACTGCTTATGTGGTCAGCTTTAATCCCTTAACCCCTTTTCAAATGAAAGTTTCTCTGCTCTTCGCCCAGCAGAGGACAGTCAACCTGCCACTATTTTGCTGTGTGATTCTTGAGGACTTCACTGTGATAGACAGTAGAAGGCACTACAATCTGTTGCATTCTATTAAATTGCAACATGGCTATAAGCAATTTGTCTCCTATCCCCCTGCTTTGTTGTCATTAGTGTTTAAAACATCAGACACAGTTTGTTTATGTTTCATGTGTTCTTTTTCACCCAACTTATTCTTAGATCCACAAGCCATCTTTAGGCATAACCCTTTGTGTATAGAAGTTGGGACATCAGGTCGTGGTTGTACAGAACATTGATGAGGCCTTTCCTGGAGTATTGTGACCAGTTCTGGTTGCCCTTTTATTAGGAAGGATATTAAGCTGGAGAGGTTCAGAAAAGATTTACTACAATATTGCCAGGAATGGAGGGTTTGAGCTCTGAGGAGAGACTGAATAGACTGGAACTTTTTTACACTGAAGCGGAGAAGGTTGAGGGGTGACCTTAGACATTTATAAAATTATGAGCGTCATATGTAAGGTGAATAGCAGGTGCCTTTTCCCTAGGTGGTGGAATTTCAAGACTGGGGGCATATTTCTAAGGTGAGTGGAGAAAGATTTAAATAAGACAAGACATAAGGGGAAATTTTTATACAGAGAGAGTGGTTTGTGTGTGGAATGAACTTCCAGAGGAAGTGGTGGACATTAGGGCAAGTATATGAATAGTAAATGTTTCAAGTGATATGGGCCAAGTAGAGTCACTAGTTTAGTTTGGGATTATGGTCGGCATGGACTGTGTGGACTGAAGGATTTGCTTATATATATGGAATTATAATTTTATGATATGAACGATACCAAGCTTTCATGATTACCAGGTGAAGAATTCCTTAGCTGGTGTACTTAGTTTTAAAGAATTTTTGTGCTAAGAGTGTAGGAAAAAAACATGGGTAACATTTCAGAACATTTCCCATGAGAGATTTTTAAAATATACTTAATTTGTGTTGTCTGAAGTCAATTCTATATTTTTAAATTTATAGTATATCATGTGATTTTGTACATATAAAACAAAACATTGAAGGTTCGGCATCTGCACTAACTTAATGTAGAATCTTCCTGCCCTACCCTGATTCCCTCTTTGAATTTGTTTTTAATAAAGCAAGAGATCAAGACAGGTGGCACACTGCTTGAGTGTGTGATCTTGTTTGAAACCCCAGTGACCAATATTTTAATGAGTGCAATGATGGTCTCAACAGATAAACTGAGCAAGAACAGCAGTAAAGCCAATGTGAATATGCATAAAGGTAACAAAGGGCAGAAAACCATTATTAAACTGAGATACAACCTGAGAGCTACTAAAATTGTCCCCATGATTTTGGCATTTACCTTTATTGCAAAAACCATTTGTCCTAATTATAAATAAATCCATATAGAGGGAACTACTTCAAGGCTGTAATATGATTTTGGGTTTCAGTTTATGGATAATAGTGACCTGGTACTGCTGTAATATATAAATCATCTGCACCCATCAGATGACAGATTTATTTTTACATGCAAGTATTCCATAGAATCATAGAATCCCTACAGTGTTGAAGCAGGCCATTCAGCCCATTGAGTTTACACCAACACTCTGGAGAGTGTCCCATCCAGACACACGCCCCTCCATATTTTTGGACTATGGGAAGAAACCAGAGCACCAGGAGGAAACCCATACAGACATAGGGAGAATGTGCAAACTCCACACAGACAATTGCCCAAGGGTGGAATTGAACCCAGGTCTCTGACATGGTGAGGCAACAGTGCTAACTACTGAGCCACCATGCCACCTAATAATTTGTGCTAATAATTTTTTTTTCCCTGTGTTGGCTTTGGTACTGGCCTTCAGCTTGCTGCAAATGTATTCAGCATGGTTCTGTTTATCTGTTCCATTTGTCAGTGTAAGTGAGTTTCTATATTCATTTATGTAAACTTTTTCCTGCAGATCAAGTGGTGGATTCAGACTGTGCGTTTTAATTGTTGCACCTTGAGTAGAAATTGATTTTTGTCTTATAGTCTGAATTCCATTTTCAGAAAGGAAGTCTGATTAGAGTTTATTTCTTCTTTACTGGTTTGATGTCCAGTGATATCTTTTACAGTTTTAAAAACAAATGACTTTGCAGCTAACTTTCCCACCTGGTACATGTGAGGAGAATGTAGACGCTTATGCTTTTGTGCTTTGTGAAATGAAACAAAATTAGATTAGGTAGAATCGAAGGGAAGGCTGGGGTCGGGGGGAGGTGGCGGTGCAGGTGGGAAGCATTGCTTTGCTCTTTGCCAATTGTGGGAGAGAATTTTTTAAAAAATATTCATTCCCTAGTTATGAGTATCACTGACATGGTTAGCATATATTGCCCTGAACAGGTGTTAATGGTTAGTCTTCTTGAGCTGCTGAATATTCTTGGTCCACCTCCGAGGGAAGTTTTAAAAAAAAATGACCATATTGATGTGAGACTGGATTCATACTAGTTTCCTTCATCCCCTAAGGTGTGCCAATGAACCATTTGGTCCTTTGCAATAATCTGACAACTTCATGCTCATTTTTACTGATACAGGCTTTTACCTGATTATATAAAAACTAAACTTGCATTCTTATGTATTACTAACCCAACACAATGATTATGCTACTGTAAATTGCACTAAATTGTGCAAATAAGTTTTTAAACTAATTTTAGATCTGGAAATTTTTCAGTTTTGGCTTACAGTGCATTAGTAATTTTGAGTGCATGTGTTGGAGGCTTTTTGTAATTGATCTTTGGAATGTGCATAGAAACATACCATAGATTGTGTAGTAGAAATGGATTACGTGAACCCTTTACTGACTGGATGTTCAAAATGGAATGTTTCAGTAGTTCTTTACGTGAACTTAATACCTGTAGATCTTTTCTGAAGTGTTTATATTTACATATTTCAGCCCCATGTACAGTGTGCAGTGTATTAAATCTGTCCAAAGCAGACAATTAAATAATCTTTTCCCACTCAAACAGTTCACTGATTAATTAAAATAAACTTCAGGGAGGATTCCATCAAATCAAACACTCCGATGAGTAAAACTGGTTAAAAATCAGTTCCAATCTTTTCAATTTGGAAGCCATCACCTTGATTTCTGACTGAATTGTGTATACCCGGTATAGGAAAGAGACAGAACTTGACAAAAGTTTTGTGGCCAATGAATTATTTTTGAAGTGTGATCGCTGTTTTTGTAAGTATATGTGATGACAAATTGCACACAGCATTGAAATAAATAATCAGTTAATTTATTTTTGTTTGAAGGATAAATGTTGACTAGAACATGAGAATTCCTCTGCTTTTCAAAATAGTGGCATGGAATCTTCTGTTTCAGCTTAATTCTTTATTTGAACAGTGGCATTACTGATATTGCAGTAGTCCTTTAGCAAATTATAGCTTTTAATATTTAGCAATCTGCGCAAGCAATAATTTCATGGGAAGGAGGGAGGGTGTGCTAACTAAAATGTTATGACTCGTGTGACAAAGCAGAAAGGTTATACATAATGGAATGAAAAATGAAATATAATTTTATTATTGGTATTTTAATGTTGAGTTGTGTAGCTAAAAATTTTGAAGTAATGATGTTATGAGATTACCTGTATCTATTACTGATGAGGAGAAAGGACTATTTTGTCTATGTATAATGTTGAAGACCCAAAGGTAACTTGCTAAAGTAGTCAGTCGTTCTTGCATACAAGCATATAAATCAGTAACAGGAATAGGTCATTCAACGAGATCATAGTTGTTTTGAATCGAACATCAAATCCAAATTCCTGCCTACCCCTGATATCTTTATTTAACTTCCTTGTGCACTTTTCATAACTTACTTTCCTACCATCTTTGTGTCGTCAGCAAGTTAACAACTGTACCTGCAGACCCATCATCTGGGAATTTTCTAATCCAACCAGTTCAGAGATGTTATGACATACTTCTAGAGCTGGTGGAACTTGAATCCAGGCCTCCTGTATCGGAAGTAGGGAGGCTACTAGTGTGCCACAAGAACCCTTCATCTAAGTCATTTTAATTGTAAATTG